CTACAAAATATTAGGAGCCGAATATTTTATTTCTCCTCCAAAAGCTCTATCCTAAAAGTGTCCAAGTAGTTCTAACAGTGTCAAGGCATAGATAGCAACATGAAGACACATGCATTTTTCCTCATTATCATGGAGAATAATACACAATGTATAATCTCTCAGGAAATGCTTTTATATCTGGTTCCCATTGCTCTCGTATTATGATACCAGTGACTATGTTTATAGCAAAATTTACAGAAAGTCATAGTTGAGTTTGAGGAACATTTAGTCCCAGAGGTTAGTGATGGTGTCTAGTCTGTAAGGATTAATACTCTGCAATAACTGACAACAAAATACTACATTTTGCAAGCTGCCATATTCATTATCAGTTTGCTTTATGTCTTGTCACTGACAGAAATTTAAAATGGAGCATCGGAATTTCTTTCCCCACACTAGCCCACGTCAGCCAATTCCCAGTCCCAATAGCTGTGAGATTTTGGAGACATCTGTACAGACGCCTTTTTCTAAGTCTCACTGCTATGTTCATCTAATAGTTGTGCAGGCCCCGGCCACAGTCTAATGAGTCCTATAAAATATTCAATACTTATTTGTTAATGTAATCAGCTGAAGCATAGCAATGACATTCAAGTAAGTCAAGAAGAGGCAAAGCTTAGTCTTCCAAGTACATTAGTTCTCTTATCCAAGTGGAACACAGACAGGTTTACAAAACAAAACTTTTCAAACCAAATCTAGGTCCTGTGAATGCAAATTATAGTTGTTCAACTTTCCAAGATTCCACAGAGGACTGGATATTACCATTGTACATTTTACTTCATCTCCACAAACAGTTGTAAAAAGAATTTTTATGAGATTTTTCTAATACTCTTATGCTTACAATGGATGTTTCAAAGCATTCCTAGGTAGCTCTGTAGGCAGCAACCAATAAATCACCCTCACTTAGGAATGGCAGAGGCTTTCAAAGTGCATGAAAGGAGAGACTCGGCTGGAAGTGTCAGCTGCAAAGGACACCCCTTGGGCATTCACTAGGATAAGAGCTAGTTGCAAGATGACTTTATGATGTTTCTTTCTGATCACTTATTTAGTCTTATTACTTAAGAGTTATAAAATATTTGGAGCTTAAAAATTCATAATTGTACAATTGGTGTCTTTCCCCACCTACTTTTTAAATCATCACACACCTGAATCTGTAATTAGGACATAGATAATGGTTTGAGATGCCAGTCCAAAAGAATGCCTCACAAGTTTTCACAAATTTGAATAACTGGCTAAAACCACATACTTATCAAACACATTTAAGGCTTTTGCCAACTACTTTACCTTAGTTTTCTTGATGATTTCTTGCCATTTCATATTCATTGGAAGTTTTCTTAGTGTGAATGACAAACATATAATTTATGGTGTTTTATTAAAAACAAAAGAATCATTTAAATTTTATTCTTTTAGGGACAAAAGTATGATTCAGTGAGTAATGGTTCTTGCTGCCAAGCCTAAAGGACTGAGTTTGTCCCCATGTGGTTGAAGGAGAAAATAGAGTTCCACAAGCATTCCTTTGACCTCCACATGAACACCTAAACATACATACACATATACATCTATAACCCAAGAAATGCAATGGATTTCATTCTTTTATTCTGAGGCCTATTATGACATTGTCCAGTTTCTACTGAATTTTATCCTGGCAATACAATGTAAACGAAATTGTTTCTTTTTAAGTAACATATTTTTGAGTTTCTAGGCAACATGCAATATTGTTTTTATCATTTATAAGATTCAGAAAAAATTAAGGAAGCATAAATTTCAGGTATAAGCTCTATTTTTATTTTTAATTTTCATATTTCCTTTGTTTCCATGTCAGCCATGTTTTTCTGTTTTGCTTTATTTCTGAATCACAAGCATTGTAATGACTTCTACTTGATCTTTAATATCTGGTCACAATAAGCATTGCATTTCTCTAAATTGTTTACCTCATTCTGGATGATAATTTGATTTGGATGGTTTGTTTTAAAATTGTTGCCTTTGTTTCCAGGTTGCTTTACAGTCTGCACACTAAAATTTAGAATACTAATCACCCTTGCACAATTAGCCTCCCACTCAAATTTTCTATTAAACTTCCTTGTTCAAAGTCTAATACCTTATGTCATTAAAGATTTTTATATCCTATGAGGTCTTTGTTTTTAAAAGTTATTTTCCTTTTCCTCTTGCTAACATTGAAAATTATGCATTGATTCTAATTTTTCATATATTTTCAAATTTTCATATTAATCTAAGATAAATGACCTGCACAGCAGTGAGTTATTCACAAGGTCAAAACAGATCAAAGTGATGCGCAGCTATAAAGCCTATTGGGGGAGACTGTTCAGTCAAGAAACAATTTGCACAGATTGTGTTTCTGCATAATGGGCTCAATAAAGGCAACATAAATCACACAGAAGATTCTTCTGGAGATTCATAAACAAATCAGATTTAAAATAAGACAGTCAAGAACATAGTGAATGTGACCTCTGGCATGTTAAGAATTGTTCTATGTACTTGTCCTTAATGGTACACACACACACACATACACACACACACACACACACACACACACAGAGAGAGAG